CCCTCCGCCCCCGCCCGCCTGCTACCCCGCTGCAGTTTTGGACCAGCCGCGAGGCCGCCCCGCGCGCCGGCCACCCGCGCGGCCCCTGGCGAGCGCTGGCCGCCGCTGCCGTCGGCGCAGGCCGCCGGTCGCCGGCCGATGGCGCTGGCGGTTGCGCAGCTGCTCGCGAGCTTGGGCGACTCGGACGCCGAGGTTCAGGAGCCAACGTTGGGGGGGGGGGTCGGCGCAGCGAGGGGGCGCACCAGCCCCCCCTCGCCGCGCACAGGGGCCCGTCTCGCTCACGCGGCCCGGGAACGTGCGGCGCTCGGCGCTCTCCAGGTTGCCTGTCGCCCATCGCCGATCTATCGGCGACGCATCGCCGCTTCCAGCTCCCGACGCTCCCCCCCGGCCGGGAGCCGGTTCCCCCCGCAACGGTTCCCTTTCACAGGTGCGCGCTGCGGCGGTGCGCGCGCTGGCAAGGGGCGCGGCGGTGGGCGATCCAGCTGCGGTCCGCCTCGTTGCCAAGGGCACGGAGGCCCTCGTCCGCCCGTCGTCGTCGCCGCCCGTCGTTGTCGTCTTCGCCGTCGTCGTCGCCGGTCGCGGTCGGCCGTCGCCGGTCGTCCGTTGTCGCCGTCGCCGTCGCCGTCCGCCGCCGTCTCCGCAGTCGCCCGTCGTCGTCATCGCCCGCCGCTGTCCTCCTTTGCTCCCTCCCCAGCGGCCTCCTGACCCTCATCCCACTCGTCGGGCCGAGGTCCGCGGACCGGGCTTCTCGCACGTGCTGGCCCTCCGGGAGGGCTCTCGTCGCTGCGGCTGCCAAAATCCGCCTCGAAGTTCTGGCTGCAACCCGCCCTGGGAGAGGTCCACGCGTGGCGGCGTACTCGTCGGACCGAGGCTCGAGGACCGGGCTTCTCACACGTGCTCGCCCTCCGGGAGGGCTCCTCGTCGCTGCGGCTGCCAAAAAATCCGCCTCGAAGTTTCTGCTCTGCAACCCGCCCTGGGAGAGGTCCACGCGTGGCGGCGTGTCGAGGAGCGGGGGCCCAGACTCGGGAGGGGGAAAACAAAAAAAAAAAAAAGACACGATCAATCGTCGATTCCCAGGAAAATATGCGAAAATATGGGAAGTGGGGGGGAAGACAAAAACCCAGAAAATATGGAAGATATGGGAATCCTTTTATTTGTGTCTATTTATTTGTTTGTCCCGGGGCCCCTTCACAGACCTCCAGCGTCAGCCCATTCCTTCCCCCCTTCCCAGACTCCCGATGACGCGACTCTTCGGTTTGGCAGAGGCTCTTCTCCCATTCGGGCCGGACGAAGGGGGGTATAGGGAAAGGGGGGGGTACGAAGTCTGCTGCATGCAGCTGGTTTCGGCCCCGCCGCCGGGCCCATTCCTCGATACACGGGCGCCTCCCGGCGCCGGGAGGCGCCGGGAAACTCAGCTACGTGAGTTGATTCTCAAACCCCCCCTTTGCTATCCCCCACTGTCGCCCGGCCCGACCAATGCAGCCCTGGTCGGGCCAACGCTCAAGTGCGCAAGAAGCCGGAGACACTCGTTGCAGCATCAGGCAGTGTCATACGAGTGCGCCAAGCAGGCTGTTATGTGCGCACGCAGCTGCGGGTATGGTACGCCGTGTCGTCGAACATAACCGTTGTGATAGAGAATAGTGCGAGCTAGCGTGGTGACAGTCCTTGGGAAACCAATGGGACAGCAATGTCACCAGGTGAAGGCAGCTGCATTTGCACACGAATATCTGTAATATTTTGAGTCGTTGACACAGGTCCTGGAACGACGGACGCCTTCCCGAGGCCGGTTTTTACTCCCCGATTCTTTTGTTGACGGTCACAGCAGGGCACGGAGGCGGCCCTGGACAAAAAGCCTCCACCTATCTCTGTTCAAGACGTTTGAGGTTTGTGTCATCTCCTCCCGCCTTCCTCCTCAAAATCCGTCTCTGACCCTCTCCCGCGATCAATATCTTGGCTTGTTCATCTCGCATCGATTTCTGACGGCCCTGGCGCCCAAGGCCCACTCAAGCGCCGAAGTCGAGCGACGACCTCCAGCGCGAGTTTGTCCATGTTCCTCCTCCTCGTAATCCTCCTCCTCCTCCTCCTCCTCCTCGTAGTCCTCCTCCTCCTCCTCCCCTCCTCCTCCTGCTTGTCATCGTCCTCGTTCTCGTCCTCATCATCACCATCATGATCATCATCATCACCATCATCATCAGCAGCAGCATCATTAGCATCACCAGCATCATTAGCATTACCATCAGCATCATCATCATCATCATCATCATCATCATCATCATCATCATCATCATCATCTTCATCATCATCATCTTCATCATCATCATCATACTCATAATCATACTCATATCCAGCATCATCATCAGCATCATCATCAACAGCAGCATCACCATCAGCAGCAGCCTCCTCATCATCCACCTCCTCCTCCTCCTCCTCCTCCTCCTCCTCCTCCCCTCCTTCGACCAGCGGCCGCAGTCTGGCACAGCGGGCTGACACAGCGGCCTCGATGCCAGCCCGGCCTCTCGGGGACGAGGGCGTGAGCCGCCGTCGCTCCGTGGGCCAGCTGGCTTGCTGTGCTCGCCGGGGAGGGTGACCCAGCGCCGATCAACAAAATAAGCGCGGAGCTCTGAACATGCATGTTTGTGTGGTTGCCTCTCGCTGCGAATACAGTCGGCCCAGATTAGCAGGTCGACCCTGCCAGCTCAAGGGTACCCTCGTGTCCTGTGCCTCGCGACACGTGCCCCTCCTTACACTCCAGTGGCGATGTGGCCATCGGAAGGGTCTTGTGTCCTCCCGCGTGTCCTCTCCAATCAAGTCCGGTCGGCTTCTGGAGGGCCGGCCGCGGGACCGTCAGCCAGATCGGACGAAACATGACGTCGGAGATAACAGATCATGACGTCGTGAACAGATCATAAACGTCGGAGATATGGAAAGGTTCGGCGGCGAGCGAAGGGGGGAAGTGAGAAGGGGCGGGCCTTCTCAGAACGCTCAGAAGTCCCCCGGCCTTCCGAGAAGTTTCCCAAGTCTTCCCCGAAGACACAGAAAAGTTCTCAGAGGGCGCGAGGTTTTCTGAGAATTCCCGCCGCCTTCCGAGAAGACCTTCCCCTTCTCGTTTCCTCCCGCTCGCCGCCGAAAGGTGGGAGGGGAGACAGGGGCGTGAGCATGAACCAGGCGGGTCCAGGAGGAAGCAGCCCTGTACGCTATTTGCCGAATTCGGGCCCCCGCGGTCCGTTACCAGAACGGCGCAGCATGGAGAGCGGGTCTAGGGGGAAGCCCCGTGGTCTAGGACTCGTTTCCATCAGGGCCCCCTGCACTCACTGCAAGGGAGGAGGGTCAGATGTGGTCCTGCTCTTTGGGCCAGGGGCGGCGCGGGAGGCGCCGCTGGGGGGCCCAGCGCCGTTCCGAGAAATCAGCGCGGGCCTCCGAAAGTGTGTGTTTGTGTGCTTGCGCGCGCGCGTCACTGCCTGCACCCGATTTTCTGCGCCCCGTCGCCGCGCGTGGGGTCGCGACGCCAGAAGTTTGTGTGCCTGTGTCGCTTTACCATTCCCTACCTCCCCTTCTCCATCCAAATCCCCTCCCTCTCCAAACGTCCGTCGTCGTTTGTTTCACCACGAGAAGAGGTATGGGCCCTTCAGGGGCAACGTTAGGGGGGGGGGATAGGCTCATGGGGGACGCATCGACACCCAATCGCCCACTCATCGCCGATAGGTGCCCGATGGCCCACCTCGCCCAGGAACGTCCAGTCTCGCTATCAGGTCTCCATGCCGATCTATCGGCGATGCATCGCCGATTCCAGCTTCCTCTCTGAGCCGGTCCCCTCCTCTAACGTTCCCCCTCAGACCCGCGGAGGGCTGGCAGACGTAGAGCGGCGTAGGCGCTGCCCGCAGAAGGCGGAAGGCGGCGGAAGCAGGAGTGGGACGTCAGCATTTTCAGGTTCAGAGGTGCTGGAGCCGGAGGAGGAGGAGGAGGAGGAGGAGGAGGAGGCGGAGGAGGAGGAGAGGGAGGAGGAGGGGGGTGGGCGCGGGGTCCAGGGAGGAGGAGGAGGAGGAGGCGGAGGAGGAGGAGGAGAAGGGAGGAGGAAGGAGGCGGAGGAGGAGGAAGAGGAGAGGGAGGAGGGAGGAGGAGCAGGAGGGAGGAGGAAGCAGGCGGAGGAGGGAGGAGGAAGGAGGCGGACAGAGGCGGGGCTCCAGGGAGGGAGGAGGACAAGAGGCCGTGCAGCGGCAGGGTCGGTCTGCCCTCCTCGCGAGGGCCCGGCCGTCGCTGCGGCCCTCCCCCTCCTGCCGCTCCCCCGCTCCCCTGCCCGCAGAGGACGCGGACGAGGACGTGCGCCGCGAGGCGGCCAGCTGCCTGGCGCTGGTCGCCGAGCGGGGCGACCCAGGGGCCGTCGCGGCAGCCGCGCGCCTCCTGTCCGACGGCGACCGGGCGGGGCTCTTCTTGTCGGGCCCCTCTCGGGGTGCTTCTGGTCCGGCGGCGGCCGGGCGGGGTTCCTCCCTTTTCGGCCCCTGGTCGGGGGCGGTTTGGGGATGCTTCCTCGGCCGTGCTGGGGCCCTCTTTGGCCATCTCGGGGCTTCCTCGGGCCGTCTTGGAGCCCTCGCGGGGGCCTCTTTGGCCGTCTTGGACCGATCTTGCCAGACCTGCACTTCCTCTCGCCGAGGAGAAAGCACCGCGGGTGGGGGGGGGGGCCGTTTTCGGCCCCTGTGGGCCCTCCCCCGGGCTGCTGGCCTCAAGTCGGGCCTGTCCCTCTACAGGGGGGAGATTCAAAAATAGACAAAAAATAGTCTGGGGAATTGTTTGCAATGTCAAAAGGCATTTGTGGTGCATTTTTCATTTTTCGCTCAAAATCGGCTTGTAGGGGGACATGCCCGACTTCATGCTGGCCTCCACATCCGCAGGAGGTTCCGAAAGCCCGAAATGATCCTTGGAAGGCTTCTCCCTCGGGGTCCTCTCCAGCAGCTGCGCTCTGCCGAGGGCGTTCCTCAGGAGGGGAAAAACGCACAGACACAATTAATCGCCGATTCCCAAGGAAAATATTGGAAAACATGGGAAGTGTGGGGGGGAGACAGAAACCCAGAAAATATAGGAAAATATCGGAAATCCTGTAATCTGTGCCTATTTATTTGTGTGTCCCAGGGCCCCTTCACACAGGAGGTTCCGAAAGCCCGAAATGATCCTTGAAAGGTTTCTCCCTCGGGGTCCTCTCCAGCAGCTGCGCTCTGCCGAGGGCGTTCCTCAGGAGGGGAAAAACGCACAGACACAATTAATAATCGCCGATCCCCAGGAGAATATGGGAAAACATGGGAAGTGGGGGGGAAGACAGAAACCCAGAAAATATGGGAAAATATGGGAAGTCCTGTGATCTGTGTCTATTCATTTGTGTGTCCCAGGGCCCCTTCACACAGGAGGTCCCGAAAGCCCGAAATGATCCTTGGAAGGCTTCTCCCTCGGGGTCCTCCCTCCAGCAGCTGCGCTCTGCCGAGGGCGTTCCGTTCTGGAGGGGGGGGCCGGATCGCCCCGCACGGCCTCCAGAGCCCCGAGTTATTTCAAGAGGCGTCTGCAATGCCGCCGACCCCCTGAGGACGAACGAAGTCCACGGGTGAGCCCGTTGGGGGGGCCTCTTTTGGGGCCTTTTGGGGGCCGCTTCGGGCCTGCTTGGGTGCCTACTGGCGGTCTCTGGGGCCCTCTTGGGGCAGAGGGCTCGACATGTCAGTTCAAGCTACCCCTCTTGGAACCCCTCCTAGGGCGCAGTCGGGGCCCTCCTGGACCGTCTTGGGCCGGCTTGGGCCCTCTTGTGCCGTCTTGGGGCCTTTGGGGGGGCTTCTTGGACAGTCTTCGAGCGATCTTGCGGGGCCTCTTGAGCAGTTTTGGTCGCTGTTGAGACCGAAACGGCGAACATGCCTAAAGATATATGTTTTCCCAAGCGAGTAGGGCAATGTTTGTCTCTTGGGGCTTTCTGAGGGGTCCTCTTGGAGCCTTCTTGGGCCGTCTTGGAGGCCACTTGGGCAGGCCCAGGGTTTTCTTCAGTTGGTAAACTTGTCCCCTAGTGCCATGTTGGGGGTGGGCCGGCGGAGTCTTTCTTTGATTTCTAACAAGGTCGAGGTGGGCTGGCAGATTGAATGTTGAGGATGTCCCGAGCGAAACGCTGGCGTTTGAAATTCCGATCGATAAAACACAGGGTAATGTGCGCATGCTCGTTTGTTGCGGATGTCTCGAGCGAAACGCTTGTGTTGCAGAATGTGTTGAGGATGTCTCGAGTGAAACGCTCGTTTTGGAGAAGTGGAGAGGCCGTCCCTTTCGTCCCAGCCCTTTTCGTTTCAGGGCGGCACAGGCGCGAAAACACACGGGTCCCTTTCGCCTCAGGGCAGAGCAAGAATGAAATCACGTGGGTCCCTTTTTGCTTCAGGGCAGAGCAAACGTGAAACCACTCAATTACGCTTGCTCCGCTTTGGGACAATAATGGCCCACGTGTTTTCGCGTTTGCTGCTCTCTGTGGCGACAAGGGCCCACGTGTTTTCACGCTTGCTACGCTCTGGGGCGAAAGGGGCCCACGTGTTTTCACGCTCGTTCCGCTCTGGGGCGAAAGGGACCTTCGTTTTCACGTTTACTGCGCTCTAGAGCGAAATGGACCCACGTGATTTCACGCTTGCTGCGTTCTGGGTCGGAAGGGAACCACGTGCTGTCACGCGTCCTGGTCACCCAGGGGCGGTCTCCCCCTCCAGAGCAAACTCAGCGAGTCGGCACTAGGTGCGTAATCATTTGGCACGTTATGTCTTGAGACTCTGGGGAGGCCTCCTGGGGCTGCCTGGAGTGGACCCACGCGTTTTCACGCTTGTTTCATTCTGTGGCGAAAGGGACCCACGTGTTTCCACGCTTGCGGCGCTCTGGGGCGAAAGAGATTCGCGTAAGTTCACGCTTGCTGCGCTCTGGGGCAATAGGCACCCACGTGTGTTCACGCTTGCGCCGCTCTGGGGCGAAAAAGGCCCAAGTGTTTTCACGTTAATTCCGCCCTGGCGCGAAAAGGACCAATGATCTGATCGCGGTGTAGTTGCAGGTCCGAGCATGAGAGGCATTCGTAGGTGAATGAATCACTAAGGGGGTCAGAAAGGGGCAGCATTAACTGCGACCGCATGTGTCTCAAAGGGGGGATGGCCGTGCACAGCGACGATCGGCTATTCCAGGCCTGGAGCGAACGGGGGAGGGGGGCAGCAGACAGGAGAAAGGCATTTAGCCCCGCACGTGCGAGCCCCGCAACTCTGGGCCTTCCTGGAGTCGGGTCGCGCCGGGCCTTCTTGGAGCAGTTGCAGGGGGAGGAAGCGAACCAGAGCAAACCCAAGATGCATCGACGGTGCTGCAATACACCATCCCGTCCCAGGCCCCTCATAAGATCCCTCCAGGCCTTTCGCTCCACTTCCAGAGGCGCCCCCCTTGAATGACCAGCGCAACATGGGGTCTGCCACAGGGGATGAGCACAGGGTAGGGCTCGCCTCATCCTCGCCTTCCTCCTCCTCCTGCTCCTCCTCCTCCTCTTCCTCCTCCTCCTCCTCCTCCTCCTCCTCCTCCTCCTCCTCCGCCTCCTCCTCCTCCTCCTCCTCCTCCTGCGTCGAAAGGCCAGCCGACGGCACCCTCGCCTTGAGACGCCTGCGCGAGGCGACGCGCACGTCCGCCGGGCGGCCTCCCGCGCCCTCGCGGACGTGGCCGCCCCTGGCGACAGCGTGGCGCTGCCCGCGCTGGCGCGCGCGCTGCGCGACGACGACGGCGAGGCGCGCTGCGAGGCGCGCGACGTGCTGGAGGCCCTCGCCGCAGGCGAGGGCGCCGAGCTCGCCGTGGCGGAGGTGCTGCAGCTGCTGCGCGCGGAGTCCAAGGGGCAACGGCTCAGGGGGGGGGGGGGGGGCAAGGTTCTTGGGGAGGGGCGCATCGACCCCAACTTAGCTGCCCTGGCACGCGCGAGCTGAAACGTGACACATGCCGTGTTCAACACGTTCGTGCTGACACGCTGCGTGTTGGCTCGGCACGTGTTGGCCCATGTTTTGGCGAGCGTACCCAGCCAGATCTACGTTTACAGGCTACACGTTGAGCTCCGTGTCAACACGCTGCGTGTTGCGTGCTGCGTGTCGGGGCAGCTAAGACCCCCAATCGCCCACTGATCGACGATGGGAGCCCGATAGCCCACCCAGCCCAGAAACGTGCGGTTGCGCATCGGGGACCTATCGCCGATCTATCGGCGATGTATCGCCCATTCCAGCTCGATGGTTCCCCCCTGGAGCCCATGCCCCCCCACCCCCCTTACCGCTGCCCCCCAGGAGCAGCCCCCGCGGACCAGGAGCGCGGCCCTGCGCGTGCTGTCGCGCGTGGGGGGCCGCGGCAGTGCAGGAGGCGGGCTGCACCTGGTCCTCGGGCTGTTGGCCGACCCGGACGACACGGTCCGCTGGGAGGCGGCAAAGGCCGTGGGCAAGGTGGCGCCTCTGGGAGACACCGGCGCCGTGGCTGCGCTGTTGGCCGGCGCCAGCGACGAGGATGAGGACGTCCGCGAGGGTTGCTTGGACGCCCTGTCAGCGGCTGGGGGCCCCAGCGCGGCCATTGCGGCAGCGGCGGCCGACGCGCTCTCCGACGGCGCGGAGTGCGTTCGGGCGGCCGCGGTGCGCTGTTTGCGGGGGTGCGCGGCGGCGGAGGCCGCATCGATTGGGGGGCTTGTGGTCCGCGTGCTCCCTCTGACTGAGAGCGAGGATGAGGGCATCCGCGCCGTGGGGCTGGAGGCGCTTGCTGCAGTGTCCACGCGCGGGGAGAGCCAGGCGGTCGCCGCGGCCCACGCTTGCCTCGAGGACTCGGACGAGGACGTGCGAGCAGCAGCCGTGTGCGCCCTTGCGGCCCTCGCGCCGCTGGACGAGGGGCGCGCCCACCTGTCGCTTATCTTGGGCAGGCTCGCCGCGGACGGCGACGAGGACGTTCGCCAGGCAGCTGCTGCGGCGGTGGCGACGCTCGCCTGCGCCGCGGACGACGAGTCTGTCCGCTGCCTCCTGCAGACGCTGCGCGGCGATGAGGACACTGGCGTGAGGTGTGCCGCCGCAGCGGCGCTGGCCACAGTTGCTGCCAAAGGCGACGAGACAGTTTTGTCGGCGCTCAGCGAATGCTCGGGGGACGCGGAGGAGGAGGTCCGGAAGGCGTCGCTGGCGGCCGTCGTTGCCCTTGCAGGTCAGGGTAGCGGCACGGTCTGGAGCATTGTTGAGCCCCTCCTCTCGCACGCCGAGGCGGACGTGCGCCGCTCGGCAGTGGAGGAATTCGCGAGCTGCATGGGCGTAGGCGCCAGCGCCTGCTCCCAGGCAGAGGCGCTGGCCAGCAAGCTGGAGGACAAGGACGGGGGTGTCCGCGAGGCGGCTGTCGCGGCGCTGGCAGAGCTGGGCGCGGCTGGCGGCCCCGGCGCGGAGCAGCCACTGCGGGCGACTGAGGCGCGCTTGACCTCGGCCGCGGCCCCAGAGGTGCGGGCGGCGGCGCTGGAGGCGCTCGCGAAGATGGCCGAGGTGGGCGCGACGGGGGCCACCTTGGCGCTGCTGCGGGGGCTTGAGGACCGTGACGGCGAGGTGCGGGCGGGGGCCGCCCGCCTGGTGGGCGGCCTCCAGGCCGCCGGCGCCCAGGCCGAGGCCGCCCGCGGCGCCGCCCTGGCGGGGTGCGAGGCGCTCCTCGGCGGCGGCTCCAGTGGCGCACGGGTCGCCGCCGTGAGCGCGCTGGCAGGGCTGCTGCCGCCCGGCGGCCCCGCCGGCCGCGCGGTGGCGGAGCGCTGCCTCGCGAGGGGCGAGCCGGCGGCGCGCCGCTCGGGCCTCGAGCTGCTGGGCGCGCTGGCGGGGCCTGGCTGTGCCCAGGGCATCCGCCTGGCCGCCGCGGCGCTCGGGGACCAGGAGGAGAAGGTGCGGGACGCCGCCGTGGCGGCGCTGAAGAGCATCGTGAAGGGCAACGGCAACCGGATGGACATCGGCGCACTGCAGGGCAGCGACGTGCTGGCCTCGGCGCTGTGCCTCGTGCGGCGGTGGCTGGCGAGCCCGAGCGCGGAGGTGCGCTGCTCGGCCGTGGAGGCCGTGGCGGCAGCGGCGCCCAGGGGCGAGGACAGCGCGGTGTCGACGGTGCTGCCCATGGCCGAGGACGCGGACGCCGACGTGCGATGGACCGTCATGGGCGCCCTGGGGGCCCTGGCTCCAAAGGGCCACGAGGGCGCCGTGGCCGCCATCGCGCGGTGCGCCAAAGACGACGACGAGCAGGTGCGCATCGCCGCGGTGGACGCCCTGGCCGAGTGCGCCGCACTGGGGTGCGGCGTGGACGTCGAGGCGCTGCTGAAGGAGAGGCTGGAGGACTCGCCGGAGGTAGCCCGCTCCGCGATGAGGGCGCTCCTGGTGCTGTGCACCGACAAGCAGTCGGCAGCCGTGATGCAGGCCGCAGGCGCGGCACGCGAAGGAAAGAGTGCGGCGACCGCTGCAAAAGCACAGGGGCGATGGAGTGGCACGTGGGGCGTTCTAGACTCAGGGGCAGCGCCAGGGGGGGGGAATGGGCTCAGGGGAGGGCGCATCGACCCCCAATCGCCCGCTGATCGCCGATAGGAGCCCGGTAGCCCACCTCGCCCGGGACTGAGGCTTCCCTCTCGGGAGCCTATCGCAGATCGATCGGCGATGTAGCGACGATTCCGGGGTGATGTTTCCCTCCCCTTGGGCCAGTCCCCCCCGAACGTTTCCCCTCAGAGTGGCCCGAGGAGGAGGAGGAGGAGGAGGAGGAGGAGGAGGAGGAGGAGGAGGAGGAGGAGGGTTCCAGGCAGGGCTTCGTCTTCGGCGCATCTCGCTCGCCTTCGGCGGAGAGACCCGCGGAAGGCCGGCAGGAGTGGAGCGGCGGCGGCTGCGCCAGCAGAAGGCGGCGGAAGTAAAAGTGAGGCGTCAACAGGTTGGGGTTCAGAGATTCTGTCGACTGGACGTAAGAGTGACCTCTCGCCGGAGTGACCTCTCGTGCGGGCCAAATGGGGCCCCCCGATCGCCGAACGCGAGGCGGCAGTGGCGTCTTGCGCGCGTGTGTTTGCCCCCCCCGGCGGCCCCCCAAAAGCCGCGCACCAAAGGTCACTCTTACCCAGGATCACTCGTGTGTGTTGCCGATTCTGGAGTCGGCCATGCAGCTGCAGGGCCAGTTTGCTTCCTTCGCGAGGGCACAGCCAGCGATGCTAACAAGAGGCTGGCCTCCAAGCAGGTGTTCCCTGGAGGTGCCTTGAGCGGTGGATCGCTCCATGGGGGGCATCTTGGGGCCTTCCTTGGCCTCTCTTGGGGCCCTCCTGGCCCGATTTGGAAGCTCCAGGAGCCCACCGGAAGCGAAGCGACGGCGGGGCAGAACGTACGCGCTCCGAGGGGCGGGCCCCGGTAGCCCCAGGCGGCTGCCGGCGTGCCGGTGCCCCGTGGCCGGTGCCTGGCGCGGGGGGGGGCCCTGCGAGCGGTTGGTGCCCTGTGCTGCCCTGTGCTGCGCGGCCGGCGTTGGCGTACTGGTGTCCAGCGGCTGACGTCCGACGGTGCCCTGTGCTAACCCCCGACCCCTCCCTCGCCCATCCTCCCCTCCCCTCCCCTCCCCATCGCCCCTCTCCCCCTCTTCTCCCCTCCCCCCCGCCCTCTGCTTCCCTCTTCTCCCCTCTCCTCCGCAGCCGCTTCTCGGTTCCAGTCTCGTCCCGAGGGTCCCTGACCCAGAGCGCAGCCAGGACACGGAACCCTCCGCGCCCTTCAGCCCGGTGAGACCGTAACCGTGCCACTCGTACGGGACCAGTTCGTGCCACACCATCTCTTGAGAGCACGCGCGCGCGCGCCATGGCCCCGAGAGGTCCTCACCGTGAGCGCACCCAACCATCCTCGGCAGCCTAAGCCACCAGGCAAGGGCCGCCAAAAGGTGCCCTCACCGGTTGGCAGTCCTGGAGGGAAGCTTGCGTCGCCGCACTCCCGAACAGTGGTGGTGTCGACCGAGCAGCCGCTGCACACAACGAGTCGCTTATAAAGTGCCCACACGAATTCGACACCATGTACTAACGACATCGCTCCCTTCGGCACAAGTTCAGGGGGAGCGGATGAGATTGTGACGGGGAAGCAAGATCAGCCACACCATGCTGCACCACCGCTCTGACGCACGAGACAGGCCCCAGCTGTGATTCACCAGGGTCCGCCGACGACGACGCCCACCAGGGCAACGGCGCCGCCCCACTCGTCAGCCTGGATGCACAAAATTAGGACGTCCCCATCGCTCTTGCCCCCGACAGGGCGGAGGACGGCACGTCGTACACTAGCAGCATCTCCCTTCACACGCTAGAGGAGAGCAGCCGGCTCCTGCAGCAAGTCCGCCGACACGGTAAGCCCTCGCGCTAGCCGTCCTGGGATCAATCGGCATTGATTACCCAGGGAAAGAAGTCCGAACCCCCGTCCCCCGCAGGAAGGTGAAGGCGACCAAGCCCACGTCAGGACACGTTCAAGGAACCATGCACCACCTGGGCCGCACAGGGGTCAAGTGCCAGCAGAGTGCCGTCCAGCCGACCCCCGCCCCAGTAAGCAACGTGGTCTGGATCCGTGGAGCTGTCTGCGAAGCCGACGCGCTTGCCGCCACGCCAGCCCTGCAGGGGGCCATGCACCTCCCAGCTCCCGGGAGCACTTCCGAGCAGCGACGCGCGCCAGCCACGAGGAGCAGGCACGGCGCACGCCACGGCGCACGGCAGAGGACCACGGAGCTCCACGACGACCTCACCGACGCTCGCCTTGCCATCTGATTTGCCTCCCGCTTCCGCACCGCACAGATGCAGGAGAGCCCACCATGCCACTGGCACGCTGCGGCACGGCAGCGGGCAAGCGCAGGCTCACTGCTACCTCTGTCGCCGAGCGCGCTCCACCGCTCGCAGAGCGCCTGCTCGCAAACGTCCGAAGTAGACGGGTCCTCCTCCCTGGGTGGTATATCGTAGATCCCCCGCGGCGGATCCAGGCAAGTTGCGGACAGCTGATCTGCGAGCAGTGGAACGCGCCTGTCCCCTCTGGCATCGGGCCGACGGACGCCCCAATTGCTCTCACCGCCCCGGGCGCGCCCAGAGAGAGACGCCGGCACCGCGCGGTGGCAGCACGGGCGGAGCCATGCCTGACGCCTCGAGGCGCCGCTCGCCGGGGCTGCACTCGACGGGCACAGCTGTTTTCGGATGCCTCCTCGGTCGCGGGCAGCGGCGTCAACTTGGCGTCGCGCGCGGGAGGCCCGCCGGACCTCGTTCGAGTCGGGAGGTGCCTCGACGGGAACCACCCCACAGGTGCACTCGCACGGGAGGGGGGCGCGTTCCGGACCCTTGGCACGCACCGACGGCCGTCTTCGAGGCAGCTCCTTCTCCATCGACGATGTGAAACGGCCGATGTGCGTCTGGGCCAGGAGGCTTCACAGGTACGCGCCACGATCCCCGAGCACAACGTTCGTCGACGACAGTGACCCCGTCGCGCCCACTGCCAAGCAGCTCTAGATGTCACTTGACGAGACTGCCCTCTCCGACAGCCTTTCATGCCAAAAATTGAAATTGGCATGCAGCAAAGTCGTCGGCGGGGCTGTCGGCGAAGAGATCCACCACCAGGCGGCGGCTCTCCAAATGATCTGGCACCCGCTGCACGCTTACCACCAGGTGAAGCTCGTGGGAATCTACAACAACGTGGCGCCAGCTGCGGATGGTGCCAACCTGAGTCTAGCCCCCACCGCGGACGCCAGAGTCCGACGTGCTACCGCTGGACTCCCACGCACAGGACGCCTCTCCGAAGGTTCCCATGCTCGTGCCAGCTCGGCCAGGCCCCTCCCTGCTAGCACGTGCGCCACAGGTACCAACCTCCGAGCTCCCAGCACGAGAGCGCGCAACCCCAACAACATCTCGACGTTCGCCGCAATGTGGCCCACGGGGCCGTCCTGGACCTCTCATTGGGCATGCCCCGGAGCTGGCGCCATCACTCACGTGGACGCCCTTCTCGGGCTGCCGAGGCAGGCGCGGAGAGAGACACCAGCCTCGACGCTGAAGCCGAAGAGCTGCACGAGCGCGCGCAGGCCTTCCAAGGAGGTGGCCACATTGGCAGAGCCCCGGCAAACCGTTGCCCATTGGGGGTGGAGCTGGCCGCCCTTCGGCACGATGCATAACGACTGGGGCCCCCACTGTTCACGGTCGCACCTACCAGTCGGCCCGTGCACCCACATGCCCCAAGCGCCGCAGCAGGGGCCTTTTCTCCGACGCACCCCCACCACCAGACACGACCCGGGCATTGCCACCGCGGCCAATCAAGGTTTTGATTACTTTGCCAACACCTGGTTCCAAAGAACACAAGGCAAAGCTACATGCACTGCCTGGCAGCTCGGCCTCCCTCTGAAATCATTTGTCCGTCGGTGGCCACCCCCAGCTGGGGGCAGCGCGCGCGGCCACCTCGGCCGACCCAGCGCCGCTGCGCAGATGGCGCAACCAAGAAGAGGAAATTCTTAACGCTTCGCGTATCCCCACCAGCCCATCTCACAGCAGCAACTCTCGCGAAGCTTGCCGACAGTCGTGTTTTTCAGGCGTGTGTCCGCTTGGCCCCGCATATCTCCCCTGTTCCTCCTTCCTCCAGCCTCCTTGTACATCCTCCTTGTGGTGGGAGCGGGAGAAGGACGAGGCGGAGGAGGAGGGAGAGAAAGCGCTCCTCGTGGTTTGAGTCGTTTGGGGCTTCTCGTCCTGGTGTGAGTCGTTCGGGCCCTTCTTCCTGGTGTGAGTCGTTCGGGCTCTTCGTGGTGTGAGTCGTTCGGGCTCTTCGTCCTGGTGTGAGTCGTTCGGGCTTCTCGTGGTGTGAGTTGTTCGGGCCCCTCGTCCTGGTGTGAGTCGTTCGGGCCCCTCCTCCTGGTGTGACTCGTTCGGGCTCCTCGTGGGGTGAGTCGTTCGGGGCCCTCGTCGTGGTGTGAGTCGTTCGGGCTCCTCGTGGTGTGATCGTTCGGGCGCCTCGTCCTGGTGTGTCGTTCGGGCCCTCCCTTCTGGTGTGAGTCGTTCGGGCTCTCGTGGTGTGAGTCGTTCGGGTCCCTCGTTGGGGGTTCGGGCTCTTCGTGGTGCGAGTCGTTCGGGCCCCTCGTCCTGGTGTGAGTCGTTCGGGCTCCTCGTGGGGCCTCTTGGGGGCCTCTTGGAGCCTCTTGGGGCCTCTTGGGGGCCTCTTGGGGGCCTCTTGGGGGCCTCTTGGGGGCCTCTTGGGGCCTCTTGGGGCCTCTTGGGGGCCTCTTGGGGGCCTCTTGGGGGCCTCTTGGGGCCTTGGGGGCCTCTTGGGGGCCTCTTGGAGGCCTCTTGGGAGCCTCCTGGGGGCCTCTTGGGGCCATCTTGGGGCCTCTTGCGACCTCCTCAGAAGCGCAAATGAGCGCTGCCCCCTGAGAAAGACAAAATGAGCCCAAAACCTTTGTAAAATCAATGATTTTGCTATGAAGGAAGAGGAACGCGGCCCCCTCAGG